TTCAACCGTTAGTGACACAGTCTCGAGGTGGTTTTTAATGAGCTCTGGTGTTTGAGTGGTTTTAATGAGCACATACACACAACACCCTACATGAAGGGCATCCAACACCACACACCTCTCTATGAAAACATCCAACACACAACACCTCTCTATGAAGAACATCCAACACCACAACACCCCTCCATAAGAACATCCAACACCACAACACCCTCCATGAAGACATCCAACACGCACAGCACCTCTATGAAGACATCCAACACCACAACACCTCTATGAAGAACATTCAGCACCACAACACCCTCTATGAAGACATCCACACCACAACACCCTCTATGAAGAACATCCACACCACAACACCCTCTATGAAGAAGCATCCACACCACAACACCCTCTATAAGAACATCCAGCACCGCAACACCCTCTATGAAGAACACCCAAAGCACCACAACACCCTCTATGAAGAACATCCAACACCACAACACCCTCTATGAAGAACATCCAACACCACAACACCCTCTATGAAGAACATCCAACACCACAACACCCTCTATGAAGAGCATCCAACACCACAACTCCCTCCATAAAGAGCATCCAACACCACAACACCGTCTATGAAGAGCATCCAACACCACAACACCCTCCATAAAGGGTATCCAACACCACAAATCTTGGTAATATCCCCAACGCACCATCTACCCTAGTCTCACAAACTGTGTACTTTACGTGTGTATGAACTGAGGGATGCAGTGCCGCCACACCAGTATATTCAACGACAAAATTCTTATATGCGGCAATTCACATCCTCGTAAAACAAGCCGGGACTTCCCGCGTAAAATAAGCGCGCGAGTTTACCCAAAAAAAGGCGGGAAGGGTATTATCACCGGGAGGAGGAAGAGAATTTATGTTCCCCCAGTTAATTCCCCCTTGTTCCCCCCACATAGGCTTCCGATGGCGTTTAACAGAGATTCCCGATACGCCTGCGGAGGCTTCCCACAGTGACAGCCCTTTTAAAAAAGGCCGTAAGGGGCCGAAAAAAAGGTATATATCCGAATTGGCATTGCCCGCGTTTTCTGAAGGCGGGGAAGGAGTGTTGGACCAATCAGAGGGCGAGTGTGGCTCCCGCCGGGAGAATAAACCAATCAGCGGCGAGCTATGGCCCCGCCGGGGATTGTCTAAGACCAACTTACAAATGAGAAACTATTGTTGCCTTTTTACCTTAAGATCGCCCGGGGTTTACCCAAGTTAGTAAAAGACATAGTTCATAGCCCAGGATATACGAGCCTCTACCCCCCCCCTTATTTCTCTCTCTCTCTCTTCTCTTTCTCTCTACCAGATTTTAAGAGAGACAGTAAATAGATCTGACAATTCACAAGGAATCTATCTGCTGAAGTCTATTTGCTACTGAACCTATTGAAGACTATCTACTATCATCTATACGGTTGAGGTAAGGATAGTGTATCTCAGAGAGAGAGAGAGAGAGAGAGAGAGAGAGAGAGAGAGAGAGAGAGAGAGAGAGAGAGAGAGAGCGAGAGAGAGAGAGAGAGATGAGAAATTATTGCAATGGATATTCTGAGGGAACAGTATAACAGGAAGTTAGTTATTTCCTTTTCCCTTACGAGATGAGGGAAAAAAATATCATGGAGGGGAAATAAATTTAACTAGACCACAAAAAATAAAGTTCTGAGGCGTCAGGAAATTATATATATATATATATATATATATATATATATATATATATATATATATATATATATATATATATATATATATATATATATATAATACTGAAAGAATACTTGGTCAAGCTTAAAGAAGATTCGGTCAAGCTTAAAGAACACTCGGTCAAGCTTAAAGAAGATTCGGTCAAGTTTAAAGAACACTCGGTCAAGCTTAAAGAACACTCGGTCAAGCTTAAAGAACACTCGGTCAAGCTTAAAGAACACTCGGTCAAGCTTAAAGAACACTCGGTCAAGCTTAAAGAAGATTCGGTCAAACTTCAAGAAGACTCGGTCAAGCTTAAAGAAGACTCGGTCAAGCTTAAAGAACACTCGGTCAAGCTTAAAGAAGACTCGGTCAAGCTTAAAGAAGATTCGGTCAAACTTCAAGAAGACTCGATCAAGCTTAAAGAACACTCGGTCAAGCTTAAAGAAGACTCGGTCAAGCTTCAAGAAGACTCGGTCAAGCTTAAAGAACACTTCGGTCAAGCTTCAAGAAGACTCGTCAAGCTTAAGAAGACTCGGTCAAGCTTCAAGAAGACTCGGTCAAGCTTCAAGAAGACTCGGTCAAGCTTCAAGAAGACTCGGTCAAGCTTCAAGAAGACTCGGTCAAGCTTCAAGAAGACTCGGTCAAGCTTCAAGAAGACTCGGTCAAGGTGACTCAAGATAAGACACAAGATAATAATATACAATGACAGTGAAGGAACCCCACTGGACACCTTTCCAAAGGTACACACAAGGAATGATACATTAGGAGCAAATGGAGAACTGGCAAATATCAAACAATCTCCAAAGGTGGCGTTGAAGACCCTGTGTACCACCCATGTCAAGGCAGTACTAGAGTCCGCAGCACCAGTGGGAAGCCCCCCAGATAATTAATCAACTATATAATAAATTAAACACTTGTGCAACCCTTGGGGATCGTTACTGAGGAAATGTTTCGCCACACAGTGACTTCCTCAGTCTAATACGGAGAATGTAGATCAGTTCATGGAGTGATCACATCGACTCCAGGCTGAGGGACTGATTACCTCAAACTCCTTCTGATCTTCACTCTTCTCTGTACTGGACTGATGAAGCCACTGTGTGGCGATACGTTTCCACAGTAAAGATACCCAAGTGTTAAACAAGTGGCTAATTTACCAAGATGTCGGTTCTCTGAACCATTCAAGCCTGGTCACAGACCGGGCCGCGGGGGCGTTGACCCCCGAAACCCTCTCCACGTATGCTCCAGGTATGCAATATACCTGGTACTCCTGGTATGCAATATACCTCTGCTATACAGAGAAGGCTGAGAAAATCCAAAAGTTTGCAACCAGATCAGTCCCCCTCGTGTTACTTCCAAGCCAAAGCATCAGGAAGGACATAACAACAACGTCAAAGATAATCTAGGATACTGCCAGAGTGGACAAGGAGAGACTGGGAGCTGCAATATAGATGAATAAGACACATGTTGTACAAGTATCTTACTCATCTACAAGGACAGACTGTGTAACAAGGAGGTTAGCACAAGGAGGCACATAGACAACATACTCAGCTGACCCACACAGTCGTCAGGAAATTCTTCTTTTTTTTTGAAGGGGATGGGGGTGAGGGTGGTAAAAATATCAGGGATATCATGAACACTTCGCACGCAGTTTCAGCAGCAGGCATGATAGTTCCAGAGGCTACAACCCAACAACCCCAGTCAAGTGTAAGGGGCGGAACCGGGAGGTGGAGCTCAACGTACACCTTGGCACGTCGGCAAGTAAATATATACACTCACAAATGCATACCCAAACATACCCACATTCATACATATACATGAGTTACATATAAACACAAACACCCACACAAATAACACAAACACAGCATCACGACTGTAGTTACACACACACATACTATATATATATATATATATATATATATATATATATATATATATATATATATATATATATATATATATATATATATATATATATATGTCGTGCCGAATAGGCAGAACTTGCTATCTTGGCTTAAATAGCAACGCTCATCTTGCCATATAGGACAAGTGAAAATTTGTGTATGCAATAATTTCGCCAAAATCATTCTGAACCTAACGAAAAAAATATATTTCATTGTGTTTGTTTAGTATTAAATTATTGTAAACAAATCTAAAATATATTTAGTTGGGTTAGGCTAAAATAAATTGCGCTTGTTATAATAAGGTTAGGTAAGTTTTCTAAGTTCCTTTTGGTGCAAAATTATAAATTTTTACATCAACATTAATGAAAAAAATATATCTTTAAACGTATAAGAGAAAATTTTAGAAAGGACTTAATTTTAAATGAGTTCTTGCTAACTGACCAGTTTTACATATTCGGCACGACATATATATATATATATATATATATATATATATTAAAATAGACAGATTTGGATATTCGTGATGTAATGAAGTTGAATTTTAGCAAATATTACATTATGGTAAAATTGTTCATGGTACAATGGTATAGTTATGGTTTGATGATGGTCTAGGAACGACCGAAACGTCGGCTAACATTTTCTCTGTAAACTCACATTCTTCAAATGTATCCTAAAATCCTCCACAATGGGGATCCAAAAAATTTATCTGTGGCCTAAAATAACCTCAAAAGACTAAGAAAAGACCAAGGGGTCTGATTCAGTCCCTTAGTCCCCAGTTAAGGAGTGTTAAATTCTTTTGTAGGCCAGTTCACCAAACAAGCATCCAGACCTGAACATATTACGCTTCCAAACCTGCTACAACCAATCATACTTCCCACCCAGACCTGTTCCAACCAATCACACTTCCCTTTTAGACCTGTTCCAACCAGACTTCCCCCAAACCTGTTCCAACCAATCACACTTCCCCCTGACCTGTTCCAACCAATCATACCCCTCCCAGACCTGAGCATACTCCAGACCTGAACTTGCTAGATATATCCTCAAAACCTGCACGTAATGAATACAGGTATCCCTTGGATATCCATCCCTTTTGGATGTTAATGAACTCAATAATGGGCAACTGTTGAATGGGGAGGCTGGCAGTAGTACCCTCGAAGAGTGATAATGGGTCATGGGAACCATAACAAGAATTCTGACCACAACAGAAATGGAAAATAAAATCGTGGAATTCAACTACCTTCGTGGTCTGGTCAAGGACTGGACCAATGGGGGCGTTGACCCCTGGAACTATCTCCAGATAGACAGATCTCTTCCCCCAGGAGTATACTCACCATTCTCCCCCCTCTCCACAAGGCCTATCCTCACCTATCCCTCCTTATCCAGACCATTACTCACCAAACATACCCTCTGTAGGGTCTAGCCGCTTGGCTCTCCTTCCGTGCTTCGAGTTGTTGTGAACGAACATGTTGTCAGACACGGCCAGCAGAGGTCCTGCCACGTCCACCTGCTGCGATATCACCACCTGTGGCACGGACAAGGACACGCACATTAGTGGTCACGAAAGAAAAAAATTACAAAGCTTATTGCTTGGGTAACATTGATAATGAGTTGGGTAAAGATTTTTGTTAGTGGGTTTGTGTTTCAGAAGGACCTCCCAATTATGGGCCAGCAGACCTGCTGCAGTGTTCCTCCTTTCTGACGTTCTTAAAATGGAATAGGTACAGGGGGAGGATAGCATCAAATTTAGGTTAGATAAATACATGAAATAATGGATACAAGTCTAGCTAAGTTTAGATTTAGAAAGGATATACGATAGTATTGGCTTGGAAATAGAGTAGTCGATAAGTGGAAGTCTGCCTAGTAGGGTTATTGAAGCTAAAACCTTAGGTGACTTTAAATTCAGGTTAGAGAAATACATGAGTGAGAGGAGTTGGAGTTGAGTGGGACTTGCACACGAGTTAATAGGGTTATACAAGCTTATTCCTTAGGGTATCGTTGATAATTGGTTAGATTAAGATACATGTGCAACAGTTGGGTATCTATACTAATGAAACGTAGGCTTCTTCAGTCAAATACAAAGGGAGCAGTAGAAATGAAATAAATATGATGTAATCAATCCATCAACCTTGGAAAAAAAATATTTGAGGTGGTCAGTCCCTCAGTCTAGGGGGTTTGGGTTTGAGATTGACCTGCCAAGTATAGGCCAGTAGGTTTTACATATGTTCCACGTACATGTGAAAAAGGACACTTGTGTACATTAGTTAAGAGGACCGTATCCCCACGAGTGGCCAAACCGTGAAGCCGTGTAGCGTACGTGGAGATCTATCACGTACACAGGGATAAATAAGATACAAACAGTCACAAAAAACGTACATAGGTAGTAAGTAACGCACATATATGCAGCAATATAATGCATAAGGTTAACCAACAAATGGATCAGAAACACGTACAAAATACGTACAAAACATAAAATAAAGTACAGAGGTATTAGGATTATAAACTAATCTCCGGGATACAAATGATTACGCTTAAAGGGATTCGAATTCTACGCAAATAGAATCGCGTACCTAAGGGATTCGAGTCAAGTGTAAAAGTTTGAAAAATCAAGGACATAGCGGGCGAATCACGTACATAGGTTTTGTAATCAAGGACGAAAATTGATTCGAGTTGCGAGAAAGGGAGGTGAGAAGGGGATCAGGATCATGAATTAAGAGGATCCGCTCCTCTTTGAGCTCTCTCACGAGATCCTCCCTCTCCCCCTCTCTCTCTCTCTTTCTCTCTCTCTCTCTCTCTCACTCATTGGTTCTAATCAATGAGGTTTTATTGAAGTTCCCACGCTTAGAAGAGAGAGAGAGAGAGAGAGAGAGAGAGAGGAGAGAGAGAGAGAGAGAGAGAGAGAGAGAGAGAGAGAGAGAGAAGAGAGAGAGTACACACAAATGCTTTCAAATGAGCTGATATAGGTAACAGCTCTTAGCTTGTCAATAAAGTTAGGGATCCTTAACCTAACCTTGTCAAACCCTGTGTAAAAAAAAATTATGTTGATTTATATACTATATATTCGTGCCGAATATTAAAACTGATCAATTAGCAATAACTCATTAAATTTAATCCTATATCTAATAATTTTACTTTATACGCTATAAAATATATTTTTTTATTAATGTATGTAAAAATTTTAATTTATCACCAAAAGAATCTAAAAACTTACTAACCTATTATAACAAAACAATTTATTTAGCCTAAAGGAACTAAATATATTTTTAGATTTTTACATAATTTAATATAACAAAACTAGTTGAAATATATTTATGATTATTTTATCGTTAGGATCAAATGATTTTGCGAAATTATTATACATACACAAATTTTCACTGTCCTATATGATAGATGAACGTTGCTATTTAAGCCAAGATCGCAAGTTTCTGCCTATTCGGCATCGACATATATATATATATATATATATATATATATATATATATATATATATATATATATATATATATATATATATATATATATATATATATATTGTAACCCTTATAACTACAAAGTCAAAGTAATGTATATAATCAGTAGGGTGATATATAATTTAGTGTGTCGGTGAAGGAAAAAAAAATAAATCGCCATCTGGAAACTGTCGGAGCGGAAGTGACGTTGAGTGGCGGGAAAGATAAAGTGACACGGGATTGGTGGATTAATGGCGGGTAAATAGGTCACGTGACGACAAAAAGCGCGGGCAACTCTGGCGGGAAGTGGACACGCGTAATCCCTGCGCGCGAATGGAGTCAGCTGATAAGACCTGGGAATTCTTTGGCTTTTACTTGGGGGGAGGAACAGACTGACAGACTGACAGATAGACACAGACAAAGACAGACAAACACACACCTGAGGGGAGTAAAAAGGTGTAGGTCACCTGTAGTGACTTCCGGGGGTCACTGCCCCCGTGGTCCAGTCCCAGACCACGCCTCCTATGACGATTATTATTATTAATAGTAGTAATAGTAGTAGCAGAGCAGCAGTTGTATTTTATTATTATTATTATTATTATTATTATTATTATTATTATTATTATTGTTATTATTATTATTATAATTGTTATTATTAATAATAATTCTGCACTGTTTTTGTGTCGATTTTTAACGAAATTCTAACAAGTACAGGGACATGGATTACTAGTTTTGGTAAGATGGGTAAGGAAGAAAGATGGTTCAGGATGGAAATATAGAAAGGGTGGGTGGGGAGGGGAAGAGGGATAATAAAGGTAAGTGACCTAACCACTTAGGAGCATTTTAATATAGGTGTGTGTGTGTTGGTGTGTGTGTGTGTTGTGTGTGTGTGTGTGTGTGTGTGTGTGTGTGTGTGTGTGTGTGTGTGTATGTGTGTGTGTGTGGTGTGTGTGTGTGTAGTGTTCTTCATGAATACATAAAATTCATAGGATGGGGTATACCCCACTTCCTATCAGCTGTACACAGTTATACCAGCTGCATACTTGTATGTTGCTGAGTTGGAAGGAGGTATATACTTTTTGCAATTGTTATTTTTTTCTGGAGTTGTTGATTGGCTTAGCTGTATCTGAGGTGATGTCCTGTAAAGGTTGCTTGCAAATGATACAAGGTCAGTTGTAAGCCGTGATTGTTTCAAGCATTATCCTGGGAGAACATAGAATGGTCCAGGTGTTACCCAATCTTTTATCTCTTCGGGGAGATCACTCAGGATCATTGGTCTCGGGAAGTTCTCCTTGTGGAAGAAGCGCTTGACTGCTGTCTCGTTCATGGGGTATATAATGTCCGGGTTGTGGTTGCATAGTTCTGTTTCTAGCAGGTAGCGGTTGTTGAAGTGTTGGATGTTAGGCTGTAAAATCATGATCCCCATTATTTAGTGTGTTTTGCGTTGTTGCTGCGTGCGGAGTATTGTGGTCTGAGGTTATAGCCTCCTGGTGTGTGCATGCTGACCCTCCTTAATTCGTTGGGGGTTGACTCCCATTGTAAACTAATTCAGTTTCTAATGTATATATATACATATGTATATATAAATAATATTAGGACAGCAGCTGGCATTTTCACTACTGTAGAGTTGTTATTGTTTTCAATATAATGTTCTTAAGTTTAATTTAGTATGGTTAGTTTATAAGTTAAATAAACAACGGTGAAATGCTGTACATTTTGGTGAGCTGGGGTAAATAGGGGGGGTTATACTGCTTGCATTTTTTGCGGCATGTAATTATTGTGTGTGGATATTGAAATTAGCAGTCGGGAAGGAGTAAGAGGATTCTTTATTTTGTATTACTTGAATAGTTATATTTTGTAGTAATTAATTATGTATATGGCAGTATTCACCTATCAGCTGCATGAAGTGTATAAGTATTTGACATATTACTGCATATTGCAGTGTATAGAAATTGATGAATTTATATTGTCTGTCGATGCTCTCATACTGTATGATTTTGTTAAGGTATTGTATGTTATAAATAAAATAGGAAAAAAAAATTCGTTGGGGGGGGAGGGGGAGGGCTGTAGTCCTGAGTACCGTATTTCGCGGCTTATAAGACGCGGCATCGGACGTAACTGGGAGAGCTACAACCCACCCCAAACCCCAAACTTACAACTCCCGTCACTAACTTTGAGTTTATAGGGTGGTTTTTGGAGACATTTTATGGAAAAAAATGCGTCTAATAAGCCGCAAAATACGGTAGTTCTCTGAGAATAGAATTGCTGGTTCTCGTCAATACTGACGAATCAGACTCGTCATCTGTTTCTAGGGACACGTCAGCTGCCTCGTTCCCGGAGTGCTCTAATTTAACCTCAAAAGTAATGGAAATAAGTCACTTTGTATGATCTTTTTTTTTTTTTTTTTTTTTTTTGGGGGGGGGGGTTCCTGGAAGGTAATTTACACTATGTATGATAATTGGACTTATGTGTACCTGTGCCTAAATAAGCTTACATACAGATATATTATTTTAAGCTACAGTCAGAGGTCACAGGTCAGAGTCTCAGCTCAAGGTCACAGCTCAGGGTCATAGTTCAGGGTCTCAGTTCAGAGTCTCAGCTCAGGGTCACAGCTCAGGGTTTCAGCTCAGGGTCTCAGCTCAGGGTCACAGCTCAGGGTTTCAGCTCAGGGTCTCAGCTCAGGGTTTCAGCTCAGAGTCTCAGCTCAGGGTCTCAGCTAACAGACACAATCCACCGTATAAAATACCACCAGAGGATGGCGGTGTTCAAGCCACAGCCGAGAAAAGCTGAACTTGTCCAAAAAACTCCCTCTGGCTTGTAACCCACATTGACTCCCTCCCGTTCTCCGTTGCCAACGGTAATGCTACACAACAGAAGCCATAAACCCAAGTCGTAATGAATGGCTGTCAGCTAATAAACAGAAGAATGAACCATGTCTGACAAACCCCATAGCAGATACGTGTATATATTTCGATCTCCAGCTGACACCCTCATCGGAGCTTCTCAGACTTCGCGTGTATGTCTTCTCGAGGGTTCACTTGAACATTGACAAGGGTTCAGAGCAATCACAGGAGGA